AGAGCCCAGGTGTCTCCACGACGCGGTCCCCTCTCCTGCCTCTTCCGTTTTCCTGCGCCTTTCCTCCCGGCGCCTGCCTCCCCCCGCCCTCCCCGCCCCTCCTGCGACCTTCCGCCTGCTCCTGCCCTGCCCCGCCCCCCATCAACCACTTCCCCCCCTCCGCAGTCCTTCGTCTCTCTTTCCTTCGCCCTCGTTCTCCCTTCCCCCGTCTTCCTGCCCCTCCTTCTTCCTCTTATCTTCCACCTTCCTTGTTCCTCCTCCCTTCCCTCTCTTCGCCCCCCCGCGCCCCCTCGCCCCCCCTTCTCCCTCTTTCCCCGCCCTGCCCCCCCCATCCGCCCTCCCCCGTCCTCTTCCGCGCCATGCGTTCGCCTTCCCTCGCCCCCCCGCAGCCGCCCCCCGCCTTCCGCCCCCCCTCACCTTCCGCCCTCGCCCATTATCCCTCGCCCCGCCCTCCCTCATCTCACTTGCCCTGCCGCCTTTCGTCGCCGTCCGTCCACCCCGCCCCCCACCCTTCCTCGCCTTCCGCCCGCTCTTCCACCCTCGTTCATATTCCTTCATTCCCCCTCCCTCACCTTCCACCCTTACCCTCGACTCCCCCTCGCGCTCCCTCGCCCTTCACCTCCTCCCTTGGTTCCCACCGGCCCCCCCCCTCCACCCTCCCGCCCCTCCCCCGCTGGGGGCCCCGCCAGCGCCTCGGGGGGCGGCCGCAAATTTCCCCACCAATTTTTTGATGACGGGATTCCTGCTTTTAAAAAATGGAGCAGAAACTGGCGATGGAATCCGAAATGGTTTTTGGCAGAATTTTTGGCGGATTTTTTGGCGGGAGGTTCTTTCGAGTGTCCCAGGCGCAGTTTTTGGATGGCCGCGGGGGGGGGGCCCGCCGGCGTTTTTGGATGGCCCCGGGGCTGGCCCGACGGGCGGTTTCTGGATGGCCTCGGGGGGCCCCGACGGTGCTCCAGATTCCAGGCTGCTGTCCTCGCGCGGCGCAAACTATGCAGTGCAAGTTGCACGTTGCAAGCTATGTGGTGTAAGCTATGCAAGGGGAGCTATGCGGCGTTATCTACGTGGTCTTGTCTATGTGGCGCGAGTTGTGCGGAGCAATCTATGCGTCCGAAGCGATGTGGTGCAGGCTACATGGCGTGAGTTTTGTGGCGAAAGCTACGTGGTGCAAGCTATGGGTTGCACGCGATGTGGCGCAAGCCATGTGGATGCAAGCTGCGCGGCGTAACCTATGTGGTGCAATCTATGTGGTGCGAGCTTTGTTGCGCAAGCTATGCGGCGCACGCTATGCGCTGAAAGCCGCGACTGGCGTTGTCAAGTAAACGCGCCGTTGGGATTGGAGCGGGGGTTGTCAAGCAGGCGCATTGTCGGGGCCGGAGCGGGCGTTGTCAAGTAGGCGCCGTGTCGGGGCCAGAGCGGGCGTTGTTAAGTATGCAACCGTGTCGGGAGCGGACCGAGCGTTGTCAAGTACGCACCCTGTCGGGAGCGGAGCGGGCGTTGTCATGGAAGCGCCCCGTCGGGAGCGGAGCGGGCGTTGCCAAGGAAACGCCCTGTCGGGACCGGAGCGGGCGTTGTCTAGTAGGCGCCCTGTCGGGGCCGGAGCGGGCGTTTCAAGTGCGCGCCGCGTCGGGGGCGGAGCGGGCGTCGTCAAGACGGCGCCCTGTCAGGCGCCCTGTCGGGACCGAAGCTGGCGTTGTCGAGTAGGCGTCTTGTCGGGATTGCGACCCCCCGCTTGCACGTTTCCCCCCTCCTTTCGTTCCTCCCATTTCCCTCCATTCACCTCCCTCGTCTTCCGCTTCCCCTTGCTCCCTCCCTCGTTCTCCCCCGTTCCCTCCTTCGCCCTCCATTGCTGTTGCCCTCGCTGTCCTCGTTCCCTTTTTTTCTGTTTGTTATCGCCCCTCCTTGCCCGCTTCCCTGTCGCCCTTCCCCCCCCCCCCCTCGTTGCTCTCTACGCCCTTGAGTCCTTTCTCACTTCCTGACCCCCCCCCTCTATCGCCCGTTCCCCCTGTCGCCGAGCGACCCTCAGCACGCCAATTTGCAACCTTGGTTTCAAGCCCTGCTCGCGCCTTCGCCAAGCCTTTGGGCAACGAACCCAGGGCTGGCGCGGGCGCTGCGCTGTATGTTTGCGGGGCGCGCCCCGCCAGTGGTAGCGGGGCCAAGTGCGACGCTGCGTCGCAAGCGTTTCTTCGACGACGCCCAAGATCGTCTGAATTTCGCCGTTGCGCCACTATTGCTCGTGCTCCCCCCTTCGGTTGTGGAGCGATTCGTTCAGCCGCGCTTTTTTTCACGCGCGCGCCTCGCCAGTGCCGCGCCTGTGCGTCGGCGGCCCAGCGTTCGCAGGTTTTCCGCGCTGCCGCGCGCGAGCAAAACTATTGGATGGAGTTGTGTAGCACGCGCGGAGTTGTTTGGGGGTATGTATCACCTTGGTCCAGAGGTGCGCGAAGCATTCTTGAGCTGCGAACAGGAAGCGCCTGGCGATCGTGTCGCCAACGCCCCCCTAGACAGCCGCGCTGAGCATTAGCGCCGCCGCCAAGACCGCGGTCATCCAGCGCGACGCCGACCTTCTGACCAATGAGAAAGTGTTCAGGTTGCGAAAGGAGGTCGCAGCGGCCATCCCCGAAGAGCTCACCATCTAGGTCAAGTGCACGTTGTCGGGGGGGGGGGGGGGGGGGGGGGCTCAAGGGCGCCCGGAACGCAGCGGGCCCCAGGCGCGCCTTCAAGTGGAAGCTCCGGGATGCGTCAGACGACGAGATTGCCCGCGTCGTCCGACGCCGCGCGGCGCTGAAGGGCATCCGCGGCGCGGGGGCCAGGGCTCTGGAGACGCTTGCTGGCGCAGCGAAGCGGGCGTCAAAGCGCGCGCTGCCCCCGGCGGCGGCGCGTCGCCCAGACTGGGCGCGCGCCGCCATGGACGTCGAGGAGGCGCTCCTGCGCGGCATGTCCTACGCCGAGATGTAGGAACAAGGTGAGGCGCCGCGCGAGGTGAACATCGCCCTGCCGCCCGGCAGCGCAGCCATCCCTGGGCAGGTGCCCGGCTACGAGAGCAACGACGAGCGGGCCGAGTGCGCGCGCTGCATCGAGCGTTGCGCGGGCTGGAACGGTCCGCTCTGAGCTTTCTCCACGAAGCTCCACCGGGTCGCGCGCTCGCCCGGGCGCAGCGCCAAACCTACTCGGGGCCCGGAGCGCGCGGTGCCCGTGGGAGCAGCGGCGCAGGGCAAGTGATCATGCTGTCCAAGCGCGTCGACGATCCGAAGGTCGCTCGACGCACGGGGCACGTCGACCGGCGAATCAGCCACGTCGAGAGCGCCCGGGGCAAAACGAAGGGTGATTATTATGCTTTCACCAACTGCGGAGCGCATCGGCGCCGCAGTGCCGATGGCGCCGCGACGCGCAACCAGGGCGAGTACATCGGCGGTCTGATGCTGATCAGACACGTCGACCTGGTCATGGCCAAGGCTGACGAGCTGGCTGGAAATGATCTTCCAGACGTAGTTTGTTTCCCTTCCTGGGAGTCCGGGAGGGGCGGCCTGCGCCCTGCTCGCCCGGCGCCGCGCCGCCGCGTGCATCGTCGCCTTGTTAGAGAGCCAAGGGCGAGCTGCTCATCCGACGCGCGATGCAGCTCAATTGATAGTCGCGACCGCGCAGGAGATCAAGGCACGCGCGCGCCAGGCGACATCGCGCGCAGCGACGGGTCGTTCAAGGGGGGGGAGGAGACAGGGCACGGCGTGACGGCGCGAGAGGAGCCGTATGCATGCGCATTGGCACGTGCCGCCGCTCCTCCAAACAGGTGTGCTACCTGTTGGGCGCAGCGAGCCGATCGCGCAAGCTGGCGCGCAGATGTTCGCTCGGTTCAGAGCTGATCACAGCCGCCGGCGCAGCCGACGGACTGCGGGCGCACCTCCTCGCGCTGCGCGAGACGGCGCACGGCCTCGCCTCTGCCGACGAGGACAGAACAGGAGACCGAGGGGAGATCGTGTCTACGCGGCCCGTGCAGATCGCATGTTCGACGGCTTGTCCGCCCCCAGCGCCCCGCCCGTGAATCCAGCGCGGCCGCCTTCCGAGAACATGGCAGGATCTCCCCCGGCGCGATTTCCGGGACATGCTGACCGACCCCATGCCCGAGGGCAACGCGGGTTGGGAGTTTTATTTGAGCGCGATGGGCGGCCAGATCAGCCACGACCACGACGCGGTCACATTGAGCGACAAGAAACAAGTGGCCGCCCCGAGCTCCCAGCACAGTTCCCACGCACATCAGTGAAGAGGCGACTCCTGCGACTGCGTCGCAAGGTCGACCGCCGCATCTCTGCTTGCGCATGCACGGGTCGGCTTGCCTAAGCAGCCACGAGCATTGCCAGGGGAGAGCAGTGAGGAAGTCGAGCACGCGACTGAGTGTTTCTCCAGCTGGCTGCGTCAGTTGAGCAGTCGCACGCAGCTGCGCGTGCTCCACCAAGCTCGCAGCACAAGGCATCAAGTCACGAGGGGTGTGGTCAGAGGAGCACCCCATCCGTCTTGAGCGCGGTCAGAAAAGCACTCGTCACGGCAGACTGGCATTTTTATTCAGGGCGCGTGCGCCGGAGCACCCCAACTGTATTCTTCGCCGCGGTTTCTTGTGCGGCTTGCGCATGGGATGCCTACGAGGGCACGACGGAATGGTTTGAGCACTAGCTCTGCACATCTCACCATTTCCCTGCCTGTCCCTGCCGCCGACATTTCTGGCTGCAACCTAGCACGTCCGCCTGAGTCCCGCCTTGGATACCTCGCGCGCATCAATCCGCCTTCATTTAAAAAAACTTCGCCTTGTCCAAACCATTTTTATTTTCATTTCTCTAGTCTCCTCCTCTCCCTTTCCTTCCTCCACATCCTTCCCCTACTCCCCCTTCCCGTCCTCGTTTTTCCTCTCTCTTTTTCGGTCCTCTCCTCCTTGTTCCTGGCTTGCTCCTGCCCCCTTGCTCCCTGCGCGCGCGTCGCGGGCGAGGGGCCCCCCCCTCCCCTTGGCCCCACAGGAAGCTGAGCCGGCTGGCGGGCGCTGCGGACGAGCCGAAGGCCGGGGTCCTGGCGTCGTCGTCGACGTCGTTGTCGTCGTCGACGTCGTCGTCGTTTTCGTCGCCGCCGTCGTCGTCGTCGTCGTGGGCGCCGGCGTCGGCGTCGGCGTCGGCGTCGGCGTCGGCGTCGGCGTTGTTGGCGGCGGCGTCGGCATTGTTGGCGGCGGCGGCGTCGTAGTCTCCGTCGTCGCCGTCGTCGCCGTCGCCGTCGTCATTGTCGCCGCCGCTGCTCGTGGTCGTGCTCGCCGCTTGCCGCTCGCCGCCCGTCCCTCGCCGCTCGCCGCTCCCCACCGCCGCCGTCGTCGTCGTCGTTTTCGTCGTCGTCGTCGGCCTCGTCCCCGTCGTCGTCGTCGTCGTCGTCGTCGCCGTGACACACTTATCGTTTCTTGTCTGTCGCGTGAAGGGGAGTATTGCGACGGCCTTACGGCCGGTGCCGCCGACCCTGAATGGCGACGACGACGACGACGACGACGACGACGACGACGACGACGACGACGAGCGCTCTTGGGGGCCTCTTGGGGGTAGTTTGTGGGCCTCCTTGGGAAGCTCTTAGGGGCCGCTTGGAAGCCTCGTGGGGGCCTCTTGGGGCTTCTTGGGGGTCTCTTGGAGGGGGCCTGGGACGTCTTGGAAGTTTTTTGGACGGTATTGGGGCTATCTTGGGCGTTTTCGGTCGATTTTTGGGCGACTCGGGGCCCTCTTGGGCCGTCTCGGGGGCCATCTTGGGCATTCGGACATCATTTGGAGTGTTTTCGAGGTTTCTAGGCCGCCCGAGGAAAAACGAATCTGCCCCTCCACCCCCACCCCCACCCCCCCCGGGACCCCCCGCCCCCTGGGGAAGGGATCGAAGGGAAGGGGCTTCCCTTCGACTCGACTACGACACTGCTAATTGTTTCTTTCGCTCGCGAGCTTGAGAAGGAAGCTGCAGGGAAAGGGGACGACGGGGACGAGCGAGGCGACGACCGACGGAGACGACGACTCGAACAGCCAAGCCCCTCGCACACGCCGACAGGGTCGGCGGATTTGTCTTTCTGTGGCTGGCTGCCGGTTTGTTTTTGTTTCTTTCTTGGTTAAAACCAAGAAAGAGACAAAATTTGGCCTGTTCCTAATGTTTTTGTTTATGTCCTCTCTACAATTACTCAATATGAATACTACTCTCCCTCTTCCCCCGATGGCGGCCTGAAAGTAGCCGACCCCCCCCCCGCGTACTGTTTTTACACACAGGATTCCCTGGAGTTGGGTTTTCGCTTGCGTTTTTTTTTCAAAATGCTGCTCTCGCTGAGGCGCCAGCCTCATTTCTGCTCCCGAATCGTTCCGAATCGTTCTCCCGCTGCAGCGTGGGCCTCATTTTCGGATCGGTGTTTGGCCTCCGTCGTTCAGGATGGCGTTCTCGCCCCAGCGCGGGCCTCTTTCTCGCGCGCCCATCCGCCCGCCACCACCGCGCCGCACCACCACCACCACCACCACCACCACCACCACCACCACCACCACCACCACCACCACCACCACCACCACACAACCACGCACACACGCACGCACGCACGCACGCGCACCACCACCCACTACGCACGCGCGCGCGGAGCCACAGGTCCGCTACGACACGCGTCCGCGGATAGAGAAAATCAGCGCCATGGTAAGGGATGGGAGGGAGGGGTACGACGTCAGATATGACGCGAGCGCACCTAGCTTGCCTCTTCCCTCTCCCCTTCCCCCTTTCTGCTCCCGAGGCCTATCCGTCGTCTGCCCCTCCCTTCCTTTCCTTCCTCTCCTCTCCTCCCTCCTCCTGCCTCTCTCCCACTTGTCGCGAGGCGGCGGTCGCCGCGCCCTGTCTTTTGGAGGCGCCTATGCGGCCAAACGTTGGGGCAAAGTCTGGCCAGGTCATTCGACTATGTGTTCCCCAGCCGTTGTGGAAGCCCTTTGGGGAACACTTGGGGGAGGAAGATGGGGAGGGTCAGGAGAGGGAGGAGGATAAGCATGAGGAGGAGAACGAGGAGGAGGAGGAGGAGGAGGAGGAGGAGGAGGAGGGGGAGGAGGAGGAGGGGGAGGAGGATGAGGAGACATCCCGTGGGCCTGTTGGAGCCTGCTCGGGGCCTCTTAGTTGCCACTCGGGGCCGTCTGAGGCCGTCTTGGAGCCATCTTGGGTTGTCTTCGGGCCATCCTGGCCGTCTCGGAGGGAATGCTGAACAGTCGTGGACCAGAGTCTTGGAGCCCATGTAGAGCCACCCTTCCATTCTTGAAGACCATTGGAAAGAGGCCATAGTTAGTTTACCTTCTTGTGGTCCGTGTTATTGCGCGCTTAAGGGTCTCTGTTGTTGCGTTCGGGCCATATTGGAACCCTGCTGGGCTACCTGAGGCTAACGGCTCGTGCAGCATGTTTGTTCAGGATGTCTGAGGTGAGAGCCTCATGTTTGAAGACACGAAATTGTTATAAGCTCACTCAACATCTCCATGGTAAGAGTATGTCTGCAGCGATAGCTTAATTATGTTTTTCATGAATGGCGTTAACATCAATATCCTCTGACATGTCCATGCTGTGAGGATATCTCACGTGAAAGGCGGGTCCGCCAGTCACTCGGAAGATCCCTCAAGCATGAAGGCATGTTGTTTGTTGAAGATGTTTGCAGCGAGAGTTCATGTTTATTGAATGGCGTCGTCAACGATATCCTCCAGACCGTCGGTACGCCGCTGGGAACTTTTTTGGAAGGGTCTAAACGGTCATCGTCCAAAACTACGCCAACACCCGCTCGTGACAGCCACAAGGGAGAGGCGATCTACGGGCCTTCAGCCCCAGGCTTACGGAATCGGGGACTGGGATGAAATTGCCCGCCTAGCCCACCAGCAGCTCCCCGACGGGTGCGCGCTGCCCACGGGGTGCCCAGCCATGGCAAGTGTGCGGACTACTCGGCGCCCGCTGCCGACTACGCGTCCGCGGTCATCATGGCATTGAGCCAGGTCGCCGACGCAGCGTGTGGAGCGCAGCCCCGAGCGCTGCGCGAGCGCCTGCCCATCAGGGACAGCGCGATGGCCGCCGGCACGCAGCGACCCGCGGAGGGCGAGCCGTGGGCCGTCGAGGGCTGCCTGGCCCTCCTTCCCCCCCCCCCCTCCCTCCTCCTCCTCCTCCTCCTCCTCCTCCTCCTCCTCCTCCTCCTCCTCCTCCTCCTCCTCCTCCTCCTCCTCCCTCCTCCTCCTCCTCCTCCTCCTTCTCCTCTTCCTCCGGGGGCGTGGGTACGGACACGGGCCTCCGGCTGCAGCGCAGGGCACCGAGACGCCGGGGGTGCCATCCGGGCCGTTGCCGCGGCTGCTGCTGCCGCCCCAGAGGCCGCCATGCCTGCGGCCAGCGACTCTGCCAGAGGCGGCGCGCCGTCATCTCGCCAGGCGTGCGGGGCTGCTGCTGCCCTCTCGGCACGCGGCTGGTGGCTTGGTAGGCTGAAGGTGCGGTGCCCTCACAATTTAGGGGAGCCCAGCACCTTGCTTCTATTCAGGGCATGCGGTTTTTTCAAGCTTCCCAGGCAGCTTGATCCAGGGCTTGTTCTAGCGATCCCGTGGCCCAGCCACCTGCCCGCTCTGGCGCGCGGCAACATCAAAGGCGTTCATGCTGGCCCTGCAGGACCTGCAGGTGGACCAGCACATAGTCCCATGCCAAACCCGACATTCGGGCCCACGCTTTGACGTAGCCAGACATTACAGAACGCTCGAGGAGATCCAAAAGAGAGGTCAGTGGAAGCATGCCAGGTCAACGCGGCTGTACGAGAAGGCGGCGCGGCTGGGCCAGTCGTGGGCTCTCCTTCCTGCCCATCTACGAGAAACGCTGTCAAGTTGCGAGCGCCGTCTAGAGGGCGTGCTGCTCGGACAAGGCGCCGAGGATAATATCATGTGAGATGGGCGAGCCCGCCGCAAGTACGCGTTCACTCTCTTCTCGGGCTCTGACCCCATAAGACACGCCGCGTTGAGGGAAGGTTTTATCTATCGCGGGTTTGACAAACAGAATGGCGCCAGCGAAGACCGCGCTCGCCCGGCTGTCATCGCCTGAATTCGGGCTGCTGTCGCCAGAGAGGAAGCTGTAGCTGCTGCGCTGGGCCCCCCCTGCGGGTCGTGGAGCACGGCGGCCGGCCGAGGCAGACAGCCTGGGCGTCCTGCCCGACGCCCTCGGGGGGTCCCGGATGCCAGCGACTACGCGCAGGGTCGGATCGCAGAAGGGAGTGAAACACGTCTAGCAGCCTTGAAGCCCATGAGAGTCTTTGCCCGCGTTAGGGCCCCTGTCGTGCTCGAGCATCCGATCAAGAGTAAAACTTGGCACGCGCCACAGCTGAGCAAGTTGACGAAGTATGCGCGCCCGTGTCTATGATCAGTGCCAGTTCGGAGTCCGTTGGAGGAAACGCACCTAGCTGTTGTTGTCCGGTGTCGGCCCTCAGGATACACTACAGTTCAAGAGGCGCTGTCGCAGTTTTGGCGGGATGTGCTCGGCCCCGGGGGAACCGTGCGTCGTCCTCGAGGGCAAGGCCCCGCATAGTGCCACGTGGACATCCCTTGCTGTCGCCGACCCGCCGAAATTAGCAGATTGCATGGTCAACTATCTGCTCGGCCGCCACGGGGATTTAGAAGCGGCTGGCGTTCCTTGGCCCTCCTCACCCTCCCATTGAACCCTTTGGAACGTTGGGCTTTCTCTGCGTCTGCAAGCTTCGCCAATACGAGTGGTACGCGGCAGCAACAGCGTTCCCCACCCAATGCAGCAGCTAACCTGTCAGTGCGTGCACGGGAAGGTTGATGCGGAAATGATTTGATGCATTTGGTCAGAACGAACCCGTTCCAATTGGGGGGACCTTAGGACTGCGTAGTCTCTCTTCGATTTCCGCCCCCCTTTCCCCCTCTCGTGCGCCTCACTTATCCCGGGCTGTATGTGCGTCTGTAAGCTTCGCCAAGACGAGTGGCGCGTGACAGCAAAAGCGTTCCCTGCTTAATGCAGCAATTCACTTGTTTTGGTAGCACCGACGGGCATGCGACGATGAGCAATTGTCACGCGATGCGTCGGATCATGCGCCCCCCCTCCCGCTAGAGATTCAGGTGCGGAAGGCATCGCAGGTTTACCGGATCGCCCGCGGGGGGACATTTGCGCGCAAACGGGAGGAGGGGTATAAACGCGGATCGTCTGTGTATGTTCGCCTTGGCAGGGGGACCATCGTGTGGTCGGTCTGTTGCATGGGTGGTCCAGTTTCTGTTTTGCCTTAGGAGCTGTCGGAAACGAGTCCGTCAGGGTCGCGTGTTATCTACGGGCTCTGCTTGAATGTGCGTGCTGCTGTGACAGGGTTCCTTTTCGTTTACATGAATAGGTGCGATCTTGTTTTGCAAAGGGGCGCTGCTGCCGTAGTATGTTGCATGTCGTGCTGCAGTTGCCCCCGCACATTTCGTCGTCGTTCCTCAAGGCAGTATCCTCGTCAAGCCTGCCGACGGAGATGTGCGGCTTGACACACGTGAATTGCCACAGGGTTATGCAGAACCTCAGAGTTTGAGGCCGGCATCCAAGCAGTGCCACATGCGTTCTCAGTGGCATCGGAATTTGCGTTCTGACAGCGAAGTGTTAGAGACCATTGTAAGCATCGTGGAGTCCGTCTCTTCAATGTGCGATCATGTTTTGAGAGCAGTAATGCATTATCATAGGAACTCGCATCCCACAGTAGTGCTGTATCGCAGTTTCTGTTCAAGCATGCAGGGCCTCGATTAGGATGTCTTTCCCGATGCAGTTCGATCTTGTCAGGCACAGTGTATTCATCCCAGTATTCGGTCAGTTCTCTTGCGGCACGGACGCTGTTACACGCTGTAGTGGTCTACGCATGTTCTCGTGATCGTGGTCGAAGTGCCCAAACTGCACCGCAGGAGTGAGTCGGGTGACCGTTGTATAAGGAAGGTGAGGAAGGATGGGAACTCATCGTAAGATGTGCTCGTATGCAGTCTTCTGAGAAGGTTGTGCATGCCCAGCTCGCCGCAGGTCACCTTGTAAGGAGTCGCCTGCGACGCGATCGGTGAGTGCTGGCATCGCATAGTTTTTTTTGTTGGTAGGGTAGCGCAGTGCGCACGGTTGACGTATAAGGCCACTCGGCAGCCGCGTGAATTTCCTGATAGTCCCGTGCGGCACGGACCACCCGCAAGGCCAGGTAGGTGTCTTCCTGCACCATGCCATGAGTTAGCGTGGCAGTGGCCATGAGGTAGGATCAAGCTGTTTCCTGGCAGACGCCGCCTCATTCCTCTGGGGCGGGGGAGGCACACGAGGGGCGGAGGATGGGGTTCAAGGGGGCAGGAGCAGGCTAGGGGAGGGGAGGGGGACATGGAAGGGGAAGACATGGTGAGGGAAGGATAGGAAAGGGTGAGGGCCAGAGGTCAGGGAGGGGAGAACAGGACGATGGACGGATCGTCCCAGCCTCGGCCAGGGTGTGTCCCGCTTCTTTGGCCCGAGTGGGGCGGACAGTGACGGGGGGCTTTCGAAGACCGCCGTTCGGTGATCCGATGTGCACCCGCTTTCTTCAGAGCAGAAGGTGGGAGGATGGATGCAGACAACAAGTGTTGAGCAACGATGTGCTTTGGTCCGACCATCAAGTGCGGGTGCGCGCGTCTCCACACAGCTCTCTGTGCACATATGCGTTGGGCCCGCCGCCCAGTCTTCCTGCGGCCCTGCACTGAGGGTGCCCGGCGCCCGCCGGCACCGGCGCCCGCGCGGCCGATGGAGTGGTGAGGTCCCGCCCCTCGGCGGCCCCCCCGCGTGGGCGGCTTCGCCTGTGCCTCCCGCCGCGCGCCTGAGGGCCTCGTGCCCTCCTGGCCGGCCGCGGCCTCCCGCACTGGGCGCCCCGCGCTGAGCGCCGCGCGCCCTGCCTCTCCTTGCCACTTGCCTCGCCTCGCGCCCCTGGCTCTGCTGCCTCTTCCGCGCGGCCGCTCCTCCTCGCCCCGCATCAGGGCCGAGGATGCCAAGCGAGGCACGACCCTCGCGCCGCTGCCTCGATCTTCGTGCTTCTGTCGCTGTGGTGATGCCACCTGTCGTCTTCGGAGCTGCTTCTTTTTCTTCCTGCCTGGCCGCCCCGCCCCTCCTGGCCTCTGGGCGTCGCGTGAGGGGCAGCGATATCGGGGGGGCCGCGAGGGCTGCAGAGAAGGGGCCCTTCGGGGCCTCAAGGGGGGCCACTGGGGCCCGAGAAATACACCTCCCTCTCCCCGTTGTTCTAGGCCTACACCTTAGGCGATGCTTAAGAAAACCTATTTTTTTGGCCAGAGTCTCGATTATTCTTAATGTTTCAATGTAAATCCTAAGATTTGAGTGGAAATGTTGGGTTTTTATTCAAGTGCTGAGACTATGAATTTCTTAACCCATGATTTCTTAAGCATTTCGCAGGGTGTAGATGGGTCGGAGGAGCGCACCGCATCGGCGATGCATCGGCGATGCGGCTCGATGTGGAGCCCAATCTTCTCCACGCGGACGTCGCCGCTGCCTCGCCGATGCATCGGCGATGCATCGGCGAGATCCTCTGACCCCGTCTACTCCGACCCCGTCTGGGAGGCATCTGAGTTATCGCCCCCCCATGAAGTGACGCCCAAGCTGGGCCGGGTCGTCCCGCCCTCGCCCGCGCTCTTCCCCGCCGCGTTCGGCGCGCCGCTCCGCGCGGGGCGCACCAGTAGGACACCCTCGGCGGCAGCTGGAGGGGCCCTGGGCCCCTCCAGCTGCCGCCGCCCCCCTTGCCGCGGCGCTCCTTGTCGATCCAAGGCCAACGCGCGCGCCGCGGGGGCGTGCCTGGCTGCGCAGTGGCGCGGCCCCAGGCGCCGTCGTTGGCCGTGTTCGGCCACGTGGGCCCCAGGCGCCGCCGTTGGCCGTTCTCGGCCACGCACGGAGGGGAGTGATGGGCCAATTTTCCACCAACACCAACACCACCACAATAGGTGGGACGGGGGTGAAGAGAGGATGGGGAGGCCCTCCTCTTCCTCCTCCTCCCTTGCTCCTCCTCTCCTACCAACCTGGGGTGGGCGGTACTATATCCCATGAAAAAAACAGGGAGGCTTGTCCAAGGGGGGTTGTCCAGTGGGGTTGTCTGGATCCCCGCTGAGTTGTCCAGGGGTTTGTCCGGGGTAGGCCACGCGCAGAGGGGGTAGTGATGGGCCAATTTCCACCACCGCTACCGTAGGTAGGACGGGGGAGAAGAGAGTAGGGGGAGGTCTTCCTCCTCCTCCACCTCATCCTCCTCCTCGTCCTCCACCCCTCCTACCTATGGCAGCGGTGGGGATGATCGATCCTATGGAACAGAAATTCCTGGGAGGCTCATCCAGGAGGGTTTGTCCAGGGTGCGGTTCGGACCCCCGCCGGGTTGTCCAAGGGGTTGTCTGGGGCAGGCCGTCTTATCGTTATTCATCAGCGTGTGTTGTCCAGGGTGACCTGGGGGGTGTTCGAGGATTTTTGTCGATTGGATTTTGTTGCCCGCTCAACATAGTAGGGGGAGGGGGGAAGGTTTCTTAGAAACACCCCTGCTTATTAGAAGGCACGGGCCTCGTCTGTACATGTGAGACCGGCGCCTTCTAAGGAGCAGCCTCCTTCTAAGAAGCCTCCCCCCCTCCCCCTACTCCTTTGCGTGTGCCGCGAAGCCTGGCTACGCGTTGGCGGGGCTCCCCGGCGCCGCCGTGGGCCGTTTCCGGTGTGCCGGGAAAGGGTGCAAGGAGGAGGGTCGGGGCTCAAGGGATGGGGGTCGATGCAAACGGGAGTCAGCGCCAGGTCTTCCAGGATTCTGCAGAGCCAGGGGCGCAATGACCCGGGCTAGCGCGTAGGTTCCTGCAGGATCCTGCATGGTCCTGCAGGATGCTGCAAGGCCTGATCGAACGGGGCTAGGACGAGGATAGATCCGTTCCAGAGCGTTCCAGAACGCTCCCAGAGCGTTCTGGAACGCTCTGTGAGGGCCGCGGCGCCCGATACATCCTCCAGAGCCGCTGGATCTCAAAGATTTTCGATTTATCCTTCACCCGGATTGAGCATGGTCCTGGGTGTGTCTCATTGTCAGCGCAATGTTCCTTCGTTCTTGTGTCTGGAGGTGTGGTGCCCTGGCAGCAGCAGCAGCAGCACGCTGATGGCTTCCCCCGGCAGCGCGTCGTTGATTCTCCCTTTCCCCTGTCAACACCCTGCAGGTGCCAGGCTCCACCTCTCATTTTTCTTTCGTGTGCTTAATATGTCGGCAGGAGATCGCATATGCGTCGTCTTCTGTTCTTTTCTTCGTCTTAAATCTCCCATTCGCGTGCTTGCGCCAGCGAGTCGTATAATTCAAGAGTTCGACGTCGGGCGCCGCTTGAAGATCTACGTGGCGTGAAAGCTGTCTGCCCGTTCCGCGGCCGCCTCCTCCCGCCCTAACGAGCTACAGACGCGACCCGCCGTTCGCCCGACCGCTTGTTGGGCCCAACTCGCCGCAAACCAAAAAGCGTTTGCGCCCGCGTCTTGGCCGCGAGGCTGGCCCCGCACTTCAGTTTTGCCGCGACCGCGCTTGCCTCCACCGCCTGCCTGCCCTCGGGCGCTCCGCTCTCCCTCCCTCCCCCAGCCGTCTCCTGCCCGTGCACGGCTCGTTCGCTCCCGCCCGACAGGGTTTCTTTGTCGGTCAGGCAGGTTCCATATCGATCCGATCGATTCGATTCGATATCGATATCGCCCGATCCGATTCGATTCCGATGTTCCGACGACTCGATGCGGCCCGGTGCTTGCATGGCGTCATTGTGCATACTGGCGCTGCCTATCCTATTCGATTCCGACTCCGTGTCGATGCGGCCCGATACGATGGTCAGTCCGATCCGATCAGATTTATTAAGTCGATTGTGAAAGTGATCCTGCTTAGGCGAGCATGCCCCGCAACTGGCACTCCACGGCTGCGTTCGCCTGCGCTTGTGGACACCCGGGCAGTTCGATCGGCGTTTCCCGATTATTCTCTTAGAACGATCCGAATTGCCTGTTATGGAAAGGGTTGTTTTCGCTTCAGATAAATGTGCATGGGTATGATGGTCGTGCACGGCCCGATGATGGAAAGACAGCGGTGACAGTTCAAGAGTCAGTGCAGCCATATGCTTGTCGTGCAGAAGCATCGAGAGGGAGAGGAGGTGCCAGTCCGACTGCGGCTGCAACTAATGTGTGGTGGCGCTGTAGGCAAATTGGCCAAACGCAGTGCTGGTAGCGCCCACAAGAGGCATAACCATCCCTCATCGCTGTTCCCGACTGTGGTGCCAGATCTCCCGAAAAGGGTGTGCATTTTTTGAGTTTGCGGCGATCACCGCTAAAGCTTCGGCCGCATGCGCGTGTTCAGGATCACGCCGCAGGCGCACGGAAGATGAGGCTGCGTGGAGCCTCCTGCCCGCAGCCATTCCCAGACCTCCGACATCGTGTTTTGCTCGCAACGTGGACCCCAGGAGATTCAGACCACTTCTACGGGGCCCATTCGCACCCTGAATCGTTTTTGGGGGACGGTCCTCTGGCCCGGTGAGGACCCCAGAGACCGAAAATCACATAGCACAATCCGTTTTGACTTATTCACGACGAGTGGACGCCTGTGGGTTGCGAGCAGTGTGCGGAGGGTGCTGGGGGCAATTTTACGGTCTTGGTCACTTGTACACGCCGGTAGTTGCAAGTAGGTGTTTTGGGCTCCCCAGATCTCAATGTATTTCGAGCGCCTTCCCACTTGAGTAATCGATCTGATACTGCGGTGTATTACGACCTGGGAGCGTGTGAACGCAATCTACTTTATCCGCCCTCCTACTTCATGTGTTCCCCCATCTCTTCCGACCGACCTGTATTCACGACGGGAGGAGGTCTGGGTTGCAAGCAGTGTGCGGAGGGTGCGGAGGACAAGGTTGCGGTCTTGGTCTCTTGGTAGGTTCTTTCAGTAGCTGCACGCTCGGACCTCTGGCGCACCTCCCGTGCGCCACCAGCGAACGGACACGGGCTCCCTGGGTTTCCCTGAGTTCAGTCGAGAGTGTCTCGCGGTTTTTTGGCCTTTTCCTCTTACACGTCAGTCGTTGAAAGTAGACATTTTTGGACTATCGGATTCCATTCTGCTTGAAGCGCCTTCCTACTTCAAGGATCGAGTGGTTTTCCCTCTGCTCTCCTCTTCAGGGGGCGGGCGGAAACGCAATATATTTCCAAAGCTTCCCTTTTTGATGTGTCTACCCACTTCTTGCGACCCACGTGTGCAGTCAAGGCGTTGAGATGAAGACCGCTGTGCGTTCAGGAGGGGCTTTGGTTTTCGGGATACTCCTTGGAGGCAGGTGCGCAGAGAGACCTTTTCGTGGCCGAGGCTGGCCGTGGCCAGAAGAAACCCTTTGTTCTTGATTCAGCGTTCCTTGCGATAGCACGCTTACTGTACCCTCCCAAGGTTCAACGAGGGCTCCCACGAGGGCGCGAAGTTATTCGCGCTTCGCGATCCTCGTTCCTTCTCCCCCTCCTCCTCGTCCTCCTTTTCTCCCTTTGGGGGGGCGGCGCGAGAGCGCGAAGTTATTCGCGCTTCGCGCTTCGCGGAGCGCGAAGCGCGAAGTTGGGAGCCCTTGGTTCAAGGGACGTCAACTGACAACCGCCCGGGATCGGAGTCCACGCCCGCCTGACCAAGCCAGGAGGGCATACATACAGCAGGTCCGCGCCGCGTCGACGCGAACGGCGACACGGCGCGGGCTTTGGCGCCGCCACTCGTTGGGAACCGACCGGCATCCAGCGATCTGCGCTGTCGGTCACCACCCACCAAACCACCCCAACCCAACCCGAAGGCCTCAATTTATCCTCGATTTCCAGGGGGGGGGGGGTCGGGGAACGTTGAGAAAACACATGGAATCCGTACCCCCCCAACCCGAAATTCGGGTCAAATTCGGGTCTTCGGGTTGGGTTGGGGTGGTCTGGTAGGTAGTCAGTCGGGAAGCCGCGATCGCTCAGGATCGAACGATCCGTGTGGTGTTAGAGACCAAAGAAGTCCCAGAGGTCGGACTGATAATCTTGAGCCGTTGCATGTCCTTGCGAAGAAGGGTATTGCGGTACGTTTGGGGTCAACAGTAGATTTAGATTCCAATGTTTCCAGTTGTAGCCTCGGCGGGGGGCATAGCGCCCCATAATGTTTGAATAGTGTTGTGGTGCATGCCTTTTTGTGTTGGTTCCTCGCCATCTGACATTCCTGGACTAGGCTAGCGCAGTTGGTCAGTACTTTTAGGTGTGTTTCGGTGGAGGCCCGTTGCGGATTCGGGTGGTGCGCATCTGGGGGTCCTTAAAGTTGCACAGGCCGCAGTTGCGTTTCGGAAAGTTTTATTGAGTCGTTGTGTGACACTCCATGGTGACGGCTTCGAGAGTTGCAGCTGGTGTTTTGATGTGTTGAGCAGGCCAAACATGAGGATTCGATAATTGCAGTAAACTACGCGATTCACTAGTTTACATGGTCGGCATAGCAATGAGAGCATGCCCACTACGTCCACTGAAACGAATTCGCCCACTGCAACCAATATCGAAGACGCCTACGGCGAATCACCGCCGCCCCCTGCCTTTGTGGAAGCGCCTATGTGGCCGAACGTTGAGGCCAGACCTGCCACGCCATCGGACCATGTGTTCCCCGAATCGGTTTGGAAAGCCTTCGGGGAACACGTGGGCGTCTTGATGGTCATCGTCGCCGTCTTGGAGGCCTCTTGGGCGATCTTTCGGCGATCTTTGGGGGCTCTTGGGCCGTCTCGGGCCGTCGGAAGGCCGAAAGAAGGGAAATGCCCAAATCCATCAAAAACCTTGGGAAAATCAGTGATTTTGGCATCTTTTGGCCTTCCTGGAGGCCCTCTTGGGGGCCTCTTGGGCCCTTTTGGGCCAGCTTCGAGCCAACTTCGGCCATCTTGGTGGGTTCCTGGCACGTCTGACGCCGTCGGGAGCCGTTTTGGGGGCCTTTCTGGGCCAACGGGGGACCCTCTTGGGGCGCTCCAGGGCCGTCTTGGAGGCCATCTTGGGCGTCTTGGAGGCCATCTTGGGCGTGTTGGAGGCCTCTTGGGCCGTCTTGGGGCCCTCTAGGGGCCATCTTGGAGGCCACTTGGGCCATCAGGGGGCTCTCTTGGGGGCCTCTTGGGCGATCTTGGGGGCTTCTTGGGCCGTCTTGAGCCGTCGGAGAGCCGAAAAGGCGCAAATGCCAAAATCCTTCAAAAACCAAGGGAAAATCAATGATGTTGCCCTCTTCGGACTCTCCTGGAGGACCTCTTGGAGGCCTCTTGGGCCGTCTGGGAGGCCTCTGGGGGGCCTCTTGGGCCGTCTTGGGCCGTCTTGGACTCTCTTGGGCCGTCTTGGAGGCCGTCTTGGACCATCTCGGGCGCACTTGGAGGCCATCTTGGGCCATCTTCGCGATTTTTTGAGAATGTCCCGAGCGAAACGGCCGTTTTTGGGCACGGTGGCGGGACGGGCCGGAGCCCACTGGGGAGTTCTTTTGGAAAAATAACCAAAACCAAAACCCGAAACATCCAGCACGCCGTGCACCCCTGCAAGCAGGGGGCGGCGGATTTGGCGGCCTTCGTCCCATCCCGCCACCGTGCCTGGTTTGTGGGGCCTCTTGGAGGGCTCCTGGGGGCCTTTTGGGGCTCCTTGGGGTTGTCTGGGGGTCAGGGCCTCCTGGAGGCATGGGGGAATCATTGGGCCATCTTGAGGTGGACGGCTCGAAATGTCACTTCGTGTTGTTCCTCCTCTTGGGCAATTCTTGAGGGGCCTCTAGGCTCGTCTGGGGGGCCTCCAGACTCGTCGGGGGGGCCTCCAGAATGGTCTTCGGGCCTTTTTGGCCCGCCTCTGTTTTGGGGGGCCTCTTCCGCCGTCTTGGGGCGGTCTTGCCTCTTGAACCGTCTCGGAGCGTAGGAAGGCTGAAAAGGCGAGAACGCTAAAGTCTTTCAAACAATTGCGGACGGCCCTTTCGGGGGGGTCTCTTGGAGCCCTCTTGGAGCCCTGTTGGGGCGTCTTCAGGCCTTTTGGGTCGTCTTGAGGCCATGTTGGGGCGCTCGTGGGCCGTCTCAGGGCCTCTTGGACCATCTTGGGGCCCTCAGGTGGCCCTTTTCTTGGGACCCTCAGGCCTCCCCGCGAGAAATCTGCGAATTGGGCGTCTCGGCCCCCCCTGAGGAACTGTGAGGACACTCCACTCAGTGCCTCGCGTCAGCTCAAGAAGTTGCTGCGCGTAGATCCGCAGCCCTTTGGCCCAAGGCCCCGCTTGCTCGAGCGTGCCGGCCCCGAGCTCCTAGTCGCACCTGGCTGCCGGCGTCGCTTCACATGGTGCTGGCTGCAGCAGGCCGCAGTTCGGTCGCCGGCTACAGCCTCCGGGGTGGCGGCCACGACCACGACAGCCGCAACCGGGCCTTTCTCCAGAAGCTGGAGGACCCAGGGCTCGACAGTGTTTGGGCCATTTCGTGGGCCATTTTTCGTTTCGACTTCGTTCTGCAGCGAAGACGGATTGGGGACAAAACGAGGGAAGACAAAAGACAAAAAAAAAAAAACGAAAACGAAAAGCACTGTTTGGGTCGAGCCCTGGCTGGAGGACCGAAACAGGCTACAGAGGCAGCTGCGGGAGGCCGAGGAGAGGCAGCGGTCGGAGCAGATGAGGCGCGAGCAGGGCTTCTCCTGCTGCTTCTCGGGCGCCAACGTGGGCCACAGGCGCGGGCCGCGCCTGTGGCGGGTCTGATTCTGACTCCTCCGATGCTCGAAGGCGTAAACATGAAACTTTGGGCGCTCCGCGCGCCGTGGGGGGGTCCAGCGCGGATCCAAACAGTCCGCGTGGACCGCCGAAAGTGTATGCTCCTGCCGCTTGATCTCCCTCTAATTTTGATTCCTCCGATTCGATTTCGATCGATTCCGATTCCGACTCGACTCGACTTCGGATTCCGACGTGGATGCGGTATCTCCACGGAGGCCTCACTGGCCTGCCCGTGTCCGTCGGTTCGACATCTCCCGACTGGGCTGCCGATTTCCGCCGATGCGATCCGTTTCGATCGCCGATCCGACTTATCGATTCCAGATTGGGCTCTCCTGTCCCTGTCCCAGATGGTTTTCAGGCCATTGCTCGGGCCTCTCGCGGCCATTCGGGATGCTCCAGACACCCCCTTGAACGTTCTCGGACAGGCGCAGCTGCTAGAGAGCATCCCGCGGCTGGAAAGCCGCCCAGAACCGACGAAAGCGCCCCAGAGCCGCCGACACCCGACGAGAACGATTCGACTCAACGATTCGGTTCTGGGCTCTCCTGCACAGGTTTCGAGTAGGGGATCGACTACAGCATTGCCTTATCCCTGAATAATTACCTCGTCGAACCCATGAGAAGAATACGTAGATAGTCAGGAGATCTGTTTCGTAGATCCGACGGGAGGTCAATTTGGGGGTAACTCGATTCCGTAGTCGCTCCCCTACTCAAACTCTGCTCCTTCCCTCCTCCCCGCACCCTTCCCCCTCCTCCTTACCACTCCCTCGCCCCTCCTTCCCTCCTTGCGGTCATCCCTCCCCCCTCCTTCTTCTTGCCCCCCCCTCCCTCCACTCCTCTCCTTCCTCTCTCCTCCCTCCTCCTCCCTCCTCCTCCCTCCTCCCTTCTCCTCCCTCTCCGCCCTCCTCCTTCCTCCTCCCTCCTCCTCTCCTCTCTCCTCTCTTCTCCCTCCTCCTCCTCTCTCGTCCCTTCTCCCTCCTCCTCCTCTCTCTCTCTCTCTCTCTCTCCCGCAGATCCGACTGGGGATCGATTTGGGGCTGCATCGATTCTGCAGTCGATCCCCTACTCCAAAAGGTTCGGGCCGTCCTTCGCGGGGGGCGGCTCCAGACCTGCTGGCAGCTCGCTCGGCGGCCTCCGCGTTGCGGGCTCCTCGGCGCGCAGCCGCAGCGAGGGGCCTCCCGGCGAGCCCTGGAGGCAGTGGGAGGAGCGCACCGTGCAGCTGCTGGGGGCAGATGGCGAGGTCTATACGGCACCAGCAGGAAGGGGGCGCGGGTTCGAGGTTCTGGGTTCGAGAAGGTGCTTTTGTTGGCCATTCTCGGCTGGCGGGGGCCGTCTTCGGGCCCCGGGAGCGTCAAACGCGAGTCCGAGGTGACAAACTGGACCAGATGGACCCCAGGAGGGGTCTGGGGAGCGATTGTGAGCGGATTCCGCAGATTTTTCCTCGGGGCCCATCCAGTTCAGATCCCCCGGGCCGCCACGAAGCGAGGTCTACGGCATCAGGCCCAGCGGCGAGCGCGTCCAGGCGGCCCCTGGCCCCTGCGAGAGCACCGCCGCCGACGGCGACGGGGGCGGCCACGACAGGAGCCCGTCTGGCCCGAGCGTGGCCACGACCAGCCTCCTGGAGGCGCTCGCCAGCGTCGTCGAGGGCGGCGCGGACCCGCACGTGGAGCGCGGCGAGGTCGACGGCGACCGCGCCATGTGCAGCACGCTGCGAGAGCACGAGCTGGCGCGCGCCGCCGCGGACGCCGCGGACCCGCCCGGCGAGCGCCCCGAGGGCGGCGCCGACGCCGTGTGCAGCACGCTGCGCGGGCACGAGCTGGTCGAACTGGTGCGCGCCGCCGTGGACGGCGCGGACCCCCCCGGCGAGCTTGGGGAGGGCGGAGGCGCCGACGCCGTGGGCGGCACGCTGCGAGGCCTCGCCGACGCTGCGCCGCTGCCGGGCGGGCCCGAGGCAGTCCGAGCCGCTGCGGCGCGGTGTGCGGAGGGCCAGGGCGCGGACGGCACCGCGCGCGGCGAGGCCTTGCTGGGCAGCCCGGCGGTGGGGCCTCTGCGCCTGCAGGACCTCGGCGGGCAGTTCGGCGGCGAAATCCGAACCCTGCCATCGCCGATCAACGATCCAGGCAGCTCGATGGGCGACTAGGTAGGCTTCGGAGTTCGTCGAACACGTCGCGAGATCCGAACCCCACCCCCGCCTCCCATCAACTCAGGAGAATTGATGGTTGGTGGGGGTGGAATTCGGATGCCGCCACCTAAGGGTGCGTTCGGCTGGGCCCGGCACGAGGGTTGCTAAGGGGATAGGGGGTTATTTTCCTCGCCCTCGTCCCCTCCCCCCCTCCCTGCCCAGACCCCCGACAACGTGGTTTTCAACTTGGACCCCTCTGCTGGGATCGGCGCGGGGGGTGCTAAGGAGATAGGGGGGGTCATCAGCGGATGCCGAGGTGGGCTATATCTTGCCTAACCTCGCTGATCGGGTTGCAGATACCCCAAGTGATTCCATGATGACCCTGTAATCATACAGCTGAGGCCGCGGCGGTACATGATGACGACGCGCGCAGCATGCTGATGCACATCGGCTCAGGCCCTGGTACCCCGCGACAGTCAGACTTCGACAGAACTGGAACCTGTAAGGCTGACAAGCTCCAGTCTTCGAGGCCGAGGCCGCAACACGAATTTGCAGAAATCTCAGACTAGATGGTGTCACGGAGCGCTGCACACGACTAGGGGGTAAGATCACTCCGCTAAGCGGGCGGGGCCCATTCAACCCAGGTCGCTAACCCTCCTGAGCCACTTGCGGCATCTGTGAGCCACTTCTAAGCTGAATTCGGCCAGACATGACCCAGCTTGGCATCCATGGATAACCCCCCAGTCCCCGTTGGCGACCGCTGTGCCGAGCCCAGGAGAGGAGTGCGTAAAGTGGGGACGAAAACCGACAGCAGTTCTTTTCCGCCACGACGGACGTCACGACGTTGCCACGACGGACGTCACGACGTAAGGGGGGTCGCCACGACGTTGCCACTTCGGACGTCACGACGTAAGGGGGGTCGTCACGACAGCAGTTCTTTTCCGCCACGACGGACGCCACGACGGACGTCACGACGTAAGGGGGGTCGCCACGACGTTGCCACTTCAGGCAACAGGCCGCCTGCCCAACAGCGGTCGTGGTCGACTCTGGACGACGCTCGCCGTCGGCCGGCCGAGGGCCTGGGCCGTCCGAGCGGGAAGGTGCCCGCCACGCGCGCGAGAGGGCGCGGGGCGCGCGCTGGCCAGCGCCGGGCAGTCATCGTTTTGCCACCGCGTGAGCTTTGCAAGCCACGTTGCGGCGATTGCGCGAGCAGCGGGGTTGACAGTATCAAGTTCGGCGGGGCTGTTCTACGCCGCATGTCAAGCAGTGGCGGAGCGTCCCGGCTCGCCTATATAGCCCCACCAGACAATGTTCTGAGAACACGTTGTGGTTTCCACGGCTTGTTCTTAGAACATTTCTGGCGGAGTCTGTCGTGTTTTGTCACATCGGGTTTAAGTTCTAAGAACATCGTTGATGTGATTAGAACATTGTTGGATTCTAAGAACATTTCTTGGTAGGACTTTAGGAATGCCGGGACGGTCGGTCCCTGCTCCAGCATATGTTCCTTTGGTAATATTTGTTTACAAGCCGGGGGCCCTCGCGCGCGCGTCGTCGCGCGAATCCCTTGCGACAAATCTGACGAAGCGCGCGTCGACGCGCGCGCGTGCCGAAATCCTTGCGCAATTTTCAGTGTCGCAAGGATTTCAAAATCGGGTGCCCCGCAAACATAGAAAACTCGCGGCTTTCCAACGCCAGATGTTGAAGAACCCTGCGCTCGCGTTCTGGCGGATTCTCAAGGAAGCCATCGGTTTTACAACACGTTTTTTACTTTAGCCGAACGGGTTTCTCGCGCCGTGCGCCGACTCATTCGAGCGCCCTTCCGCGCGCGATTTTTTTTTGTGTGGGGGGGGGGGGGGGGCGATCCGCGTCGAACAATGCCACGCGGGCCAGATGCGCGCGCGGGCCGAGCGCGCACGTCGAACGCCTTCCAAAACCTTCATCGCCGACGCGAGGTCATCGTCATCGTTATTGGCGGGGGCGATCAACATCGGCGCCGTCATTGGGCTTGCCGTCGTCATCGCCACCATCGTCACCATCGCCACTCTCAGCGTCGTGTCTGCCATTGTCGGCGCCGCCGCGATGCCGCGCCCACCCGAGTCACCGACTCGGACTGAAGTGCCCGCTGGGGGGCGCCCAGCGGACAGCGCCGCCGTGGCTGCGTCAGTCGCACCGCGATAGCTGGTTGCTGCGCGCGCGATCATGCGCGGGCCAGCGCGGCTGCGAATACGCACCAGCCAACGCCAAGCACTCGTCACAATCGCCGCCGCACGGGTTTTGCAAACCAAGTTGCGGCGGACGGGTGGGGCGCTTGCAAGTACACGTGATGTGTCAACGTTGTGAGAATCAAGTACACTTCATAGATTGCACCACCTGTATCGCACAGCATATAGTGCGTAACATCGATTGCATCACAATTATTGTGCTTTCGCTTTCAAAACGTAAGGCCCGCCACCCTCTCGAGGTTGGAAGTATCATTGCCCCTTGGGGCGTGTGCAGTTTACATGCGAGTCTGTCCAATCGTTCATCCGAAATACGAAGTCAGACCATCCCAGGCGGGCCTTAGCTCCTATCCCCCCCCCCCCGCCCACATTCACCTTCTGCAGCAATTTTTACGCGCGCATGCGTTTATCAAAATTAATCAATTTTCAAACACACCTTGCGACATATTGAACGAAGCGCACGCGCGCGCGTCGTCGGCCGCGCATGCCGGAATTCGTTCAACATTTCCGATGTTTCGTTGAGGTTTTCAAAATCCACCGCCCCGAACACATGTGTTTACACTACACACATCTATAGATGTGTGTATGTATATATATATATATACATGTTATATATATACACGCATAATATACAAACTATGAAGAATAACAGCTGGTCAGCAGGGTTTTCCATCAAACACATGCGCCCGCGCTTTTCCGAATTCTTCCAAAACCAGAAGTTATTCAACGGTTTTGCACGCAATCCTTAGAATCCCTCGCAGAAGAAAAAGGAGCGAAGTGCACGCGCGCGGGTCGCCGCGCGAGCATGCCGAAATCCGTCAAAAACAGAGGTTGCATATGAATTTCAAAAACAAATGGCGCGCGTTGTGGCGAATGCTTAAGACAGCCATCAGGCTTTCAACATTGCCATCACAGTCTGCCAAACGGGAGTCCCGCGCCGCATGTCGAATTCATCCGAATGTCGTTGCGTGCGTGCTGGGGGGAGGGGGGGCCACGATCCGTGTTGAATAACACCACGCGGGCCACTGCCGCGCGTCGGCCACGCGCGCATGCCGAACTCCTCCCACAACGTTCATCACCGACGCGAGGACATCGTCATCGTTTTCGGCGGGCGTGATCAACATCGGCGCCGTCATTGGCCTTGCCGTCGTCATCGTCACCATCGTCACCGTCATCGTCGTTCCTACTGTTGCCGGCGTCGCCATGATACTGCCCCCGCCCACGCCACCGACTCGCATTGAAGTGCCCGCTGGATGTGCCAAGCGGTCAGCGCCACCGCGACCGCGTCGGTCGCGCCGCACTAATTGGTCGCTGCGCGCGCGACCATGCGCGCGCGATCATGCGCGGGCGAGCGCGGCCGCGAATACGCACCAGCCAACGCCAAGCACTCGTCGAAATCGCCGTCGCATGGGTTTTGCAAACCAAGTTGCGGGTGGGTGGGTGGGAAGGATGTTTGCGCGAACAGTGGAATTAACAGTTTCAATTTCGGCAGGGTGAATTTCACAACGCAGATTGCCCCACGTATATCGCACAACGTTGATTGCTAGACACACTGTTTGTGGTCCACGCTGGCGAACATTGAACAGTACGGATAGAATCATCGCCCGGTTCTGGTGGCCATTTGGGCCCCATTTGGGCCATTCCGGATCAGCGGCCATTTTCTGCAACGCCCGACCGGGGACCCTTTCGGCCTTGCCGAGGACCCCCCGGCGGCCGAGTTGGAGCTTCCACGCCTGGAGGACTTCGCGGCCCAACCATCGCCGCCGCCGTCGCCCCCGCCGCCTTCGTTGCCGCGGCCGCCATTTTCGCCACCGCCGTCGCCGCGGCCGCTGCCGCCGCCGTGGCCACGGTCGATGTCGTCGTCGTCGTCGTCGTCGTCGGCGGCGGCGGCGGCGGCGGCGGCGTCGGCTCGTCGGCGTCGTCGTCTGGAGGAGTTTTTGGGCCGACGGCCTCCTGTCACCGAGCCGGGCGCCGCCGGCGGGGTGGCCGCCGCCACCGCCGCCCAGCCTGGGGGCGCCCCGCCACGCCCTCTGACGGCTGCGCCGTCGTCTGTCGTCGTCGACGTCGATGTCGTCATCGTCCTCGCCTTCGTCCGCGTCCGCGTCGACCTCGTCCGTCGTCCGTCGTCCAACGTTTATGATCCGTCGTCGTCCGTCGTCCGTCGTCGTCCTCGTCATCGTCGGCCGTATCGGCCGTTGCCGTCGCCGTACTCGTCCTCGTCGTCATCCTCGTCATCGTCCTCGTCGTCGTCCTCGTCTTCGTCCTCGTCCTCGTCCGTTGTCGTCGTCGTCGTCAGTCGGTCGTCGACCGTCGGTCGTCGTCGTCGAGGGGGCGCGGCCGCCGGCTTCGGGGGCGCCCGCGGCGGAGGCGGGGTCGGCGGGCCCCTGCGGCCCGTCGGAGCTGGCAGCCCGTATCGCCCGGCTGCCGGCCGATTGGCGCCGGCGGCTGGAGGCCCTGCTGGAGGAGCCAGGCGGCGCGCAAGTCGACTACACTCAGGAGGGAAAGAAACACACAGACACAATTAATCGTCGACTCCCAGGAAAATATGCAAAAATATGGGAATTTGGGGGGAAGACAAAAACCCAGAAAATATGGGGAAATATGGGGACTATTTTTATTTGTGTGTATTTATTTGTGTGTCCTAATTTCCCTTTATACACGTGAGAGTGACCCTTCGCCAGAATGACCTTTGGTGCGGGCCTACAGGGGTACCCCGATCGTCGAACTCGATGCGGTAGCAGCGTCGTGCGCGGTTGTGCTTTGGTCCCCCCGAGTCGTTCGTTAAGCCGCGCACCGAAGGTTACTCTTACCCAGGGTCACTCTTGCGTGTAGCCGGGGAAACGCCATGGGGGTGACGGCCCCTCCTCGGTGACTGCCGCGGCCTAGAGCAGGCCGCGATTCGGCTCCCCTGCGATCGCGAGCCAGGGGCGCCTCGTCCAGCTGCCTGGCTTCGGCCCCTGGCGCGTAGTCGACAATCTCCGAGGATGTGATTATTGTACCTCTGGGCGTTTTTCTTCGAAGTTCGGAGCTTGAGGTTTCTTCGGGTGTCGGCTGCCGGCCGGCTGCCCTGCTGGCGGCTGGAGGCCCCGCTGGAGGAGCCGGTCGGCGCGCGGGGTCCCCGGAGCTCCTGCGATGGGATCGTTTTGCGTCTGGGCGTTTTTCTTCGAAGTTCGGAGTTCGGGATGTTCGGGCGCTCTCGCCGGTTTCCAGCAGGTCTTCCAGCTTGGGGATGCGTTCCAGCAGCTGCTCGGAGGGCACCAACTATACACCAACACCGATCCTGGCCCAGGATCACCCTGGGCCCAGGATCGGTGTATATGCCTTCTTGCGCAAGGCAGGAGGGCGTATACACCGATCCTGGACCCAGGGTGATCCTGGGCCAGGATCGGTGTTGGTGTATAGTTGGTGCCTTCCTAAGCTGCGCCTCGCCGGGGGCGTTCGGGGTGCCAGGATCGTCCCGAGCGGCCGTGGGAGACCAGAGGTGATACCCGAACCTGGAGGCCATCAGTCAGGAGGGAAAGAAACACACAGACACAATTAATCGTCGACTCCCAGGAAAATATGGGAAAATATGGGAAGTGGGGGGGAAGACAAAAACCCAGAAAATATGGGAACATATTGGGAATCTTTTTATTTGTGCCCCTTCACAAATGTCCCACGTGCTCCACCCGCGCCAGTTGCGCCAGCGCACCTGACAGCACGCATCGGGGAACACCTCGGACGCCCCCCCCCCACCATCCCTGTCATAGGGCGACGAGATCTATACATATCCACTGCTCCTGGCCAGGCCCATCCTGGGCCCAGGAGCTGTGTATATGCCTCCCTGGCCAGGCCAGGAGGGCGTATACACCGCTCCTGGGCCCAGGATGGGCCTGGCCAGGAGCAGTGGATATGTATAGATCTCGTCGCCCTATGTCAGAAAACCAATCTAACATGGCGGCGGGGTGGCGCAAAGCTGGCCCCAGGGAAGGGCCAGGGCAACGAAAGACTCGAGTGCGCCACAACTCGGGGGTGTTACGAAATCTGCTGCGTGCAGCTGGTTTCGGCCCCGCCGCTGGGCCCATTCCTCGATACGTGGGCGCCTCCCGGCGCCAGGAGGCGCCAGGAGAGCCAGCCACGTGAGACGATTCTCTACCCTGCCCTTTGCTATCCTACCCTGTCGTTCCCCCCGACGCCATTGTCTAATTATCGGGCCTGGGGACCATCAAACATGGATGTGTGGCGCAAAACTGGACCCAGGGAAGGGTCAGGGAAACATAGAACTCGAGTGCGATGTTTGACGAACGGTTCAGTCCTCGGGGGATGTCTGCAGCGGGAGCTCGCGTGAAATTGTGGCCTGGGACGCGTCATTTTCATGATGGCCCCGTCGGGCCAACCCGAGTGCCCCGAACCCGAAGCCTACGTCTCCCCGAAAGTGGGCGGGACCCCTGGGGCCACGGATCGATCACATGGGCGGATGTCAGGGTCGGAGGGGGGCCAGTCGGGACCACGGCAGCCCTCTGTAGTTTTGTTCCGTTCTTCGTGGGCCTCCTTGAGGCTTCTCGTTGCCACGGCTGTGGAAAAACCGGTGGGGATGGACCCGGGAGGTTCGGAGGACAGTTCTCCGGCGATTTGAGTGTTCAGTTCTGGGCGTTTTCCTCGACTTCGCCATCTTGGGGCCCTTCTGAGGGCCCCAGGGCCATCTCGAAATCGGATCCTGGGCGCAAGCGTGTCCCCCAGGAAAGGTCGGGACCCTTCTGTGGCCGCGCATGCCAGAAAACACATCGTCGGATCTTTGGACACAAGAGACTGGTGGGTCCTTCGCCAGCGTGACCCTCCCTCGGGGTGCACGTCGGTTCCCAGAGATCCGACGCCCCGAAAAAATTGGAGCGGCGGGTTTGGAGCTATTTTCGGCCTCCAGGGGCCCTCGCCGGGCCTCGGGCTCGTCAAGAAACGAATCAGACCGAAAAATCCAGCCCCCAGGGAAGTCATCCCGACCTCTGGGGACACGCGCACCCAAAACAATTTGAGCGGCTGGATGTCTGGGTTCCTGACGGTTTTTCCCACGGTCCCTGGCGAGTCTCCCTGACCTCAGGATTCAATTCTGTCCTGCAGCTGCGCCTCGCCGACGGCGTTGAGACCCGAGTTGTGACCAGCGGAGTTGTGGCGTTTTACCCGATTTGTGGCAACCCGGAGGCTTCTCGTCGCCACGACGGCTGGATCCGCCTCGAACAAACGGGTCAGGATGGACCACGGGAGGGGTTTGGGGGACGGATTTTACGCGGACTCGAGCTTGGCGGGAGAGCCGCCGTGGTGTGGTGTGGCCCTTCGCCGGCGTGACCTCTCTCTTGCGGGCCCACAGAGGTCCCCCCCTGCCCCCCGCCTGCGCCGTCTCCCGAGAGGCCCCCCGATTGCGGAGAGCGATGCGGGAGCGGCGGCGCGGGCGCCTGGGTTTGCCCTTCCTCACTGCCCGCCCTCCTCCCAAGGCCCCCCCCCCTCCCGAGCGCTGCGCGCGATGCGACAGCAGCGGCGTGGGCGGGGTTTGACCACCCCCGCGCCTCCTCCAGCCGCGCACCCAGGGGCCACCTCGTGCCCGCTGGGATCGGCGCGGGGGTTGCCAGAGGGCTTCGGGGGGTGATCAGCGGATGCCGAGGTGGGTTACGGTAGGTTTGCGTCGTGTCGACCAGCGGCGACCCCAGCGCGGGCGTTCAAGGTTGAACGCCGCCGGCGACCCAGAATCGATCGATGTTGAACGATCGGACGTTGCGGCAGCGGCCGATCGTTCAAGGTTGAACGATCCCTGCGGTGTCAAAAACCAACGCTGGGGTCGGCACGACACGAACCTGCCGTATAAGAAGCGGGTTGCACATGGTCAAGTGGTTTAGTGGGGTTCACGATCCAGGTTGAGTGGGTTCCGCCCACTTGCGGAGTGATCTACCCCCCCCCCATCAGCCACCTGGAGCACGGCATGTGCAACCCACCGATAAGCTAAGTAGGTTAGGCCAGCTATAGCCCACCTTGGCATCCACTGGTACGGTAGGTTCGCGCGGCGTTGGCGCGCTGGCGATGCCAGCGAAGGCGTTCAAGGTCGAATTCTGCGACGCAGAAGTACCGATGGACACGGTCACGCCACTGCACCCAACTCAGCCTGGAACGATCGGGCCGCGATCGATTCAACGCCGAACGATCGGCGCGGTGTCAGAGACCTCTGCGGCGCGCGCCGACGCCGCGCGAACCTACCGTGAACCCCCATCCCCTCAGCAATTTCCGCGCCAATCTCGGGTCGGGCGAAAGGGGGGGATTGGGAAAGGGGGGGTTACGAAATTTGCTGCATGCAGCTGATTTTGGCCTCACCGAGGAGCCCATTCCTCGATACATAGCCGCCTCCGGCGCCGGGAGGCGCCGGGAAAATCAGCTACGTGAGCTGATTCTCAAACCCCCCCTTTGCTATCCCCCCTTTCGCCCGACCCGACAATCCCATTTGGGGCCACTCCCTGCGCGCAGCCGAGGAGGCCGAGCGCTGCGGGCCTGCCGCCGGGCCCGGGGGGGGCGACCTCCCCTGACCTGCGGCGGAGGCGGCGGGCTCGCGGAAGCCCCGGCGTGTCTCGGGGGGAGAGTCCAGGCGTGCCCTGGGGCAGACGCACATTCGAAAAGGAGGAGGAGGAGGAGGAGGAGGAGGAGGAGGAGGAGGGATGACTCCTCCCTTGATCTTGAGGAATTTATATTTTTCAAGAGTTCCGGATGCTCCTGTTCTTCCGCGCGGGCTCCAAGGACGAATGGTCGAGCGCATTCCGTCGCGCACGGCTTTTGCGTGCTGTGCGCGGTTCATGTTCGCGCATCGGAGTGCCCTCGGAGATTCCAAGCTGCATTCTGTTTTGCTGTTGGGGAGTCCTCGAGTCACAGCTGCCGTGGCGCGATTTTCGAGGTAACCCGTTCGAGTGCTGCTCGCGGGCGCAGAGCGCGGCCCGCGCTGCGCCCGATCGCGCGCGGCGCGGTGCGTGAATCAGCTGGCCGCGCCCGTCGGACCGCACGGAAATTATTTCTGGATCGAAAGATGTTTCAAACAACGCTTCGCTTGTTTGCAAGAGCGGTTCTGGAATTTTCCAAAAAAGGATACCTTTTTTTAGCTTCGAGGGGTGGAGTGCGCCCGCCGCGCAGGACATGCAAATAATACTGCAATCCGGAATTCGTCCAAATGGATTCCAGAATTTCTCAAAATAGATTATGGTGGAAGTTGTCAAAGTCTGTTTTAAAAATTACATGTATATATATATATATATTAAAACCATCGCGCGCGCTTCGCGCGCGCTCAGGTTCTAGTTGAGGTCGCCGTTCAGGTGCGATGCCCGCGACGATTCTTACCACGAAGACGGCGGCGTGCACTGCAAACCACGTGTTCTGGAAGCGCACTTCTGGAACATGGGAACGGAGACCCCCGATCCTCATCGTTCGCACGCCATGTTCCGGAGGAGCGTTCCCGGAGCATGGGGCGCCAGAGGCTTCTCCGCTCTTCCCCCCTCCTGGACTATCCTGCCGAGGAACTCTTGGGTTGCGTAGGGCCGGTCTTGCGGGCTCCCTGGAGCTCTCCGGGCCCGCCTAGGGCTGTGTGGGAGCGGACCTGGAGGCGCGCTGGGCCGTATTGGAGCGCCGGAAAGCCGAAAAGACAAAAAGGCCAAGATCCTCCAATTCCTACGTAAAATGAATGATTCTGGCCTGTTGGGACCCTCTTGGGGGTGCTCCTGGAGGCGTCTAGAGCCATGTTTGAAGCCTCTTGGGAGCTACCTAGGGCTTCCCGGGGCTCTCTTGATGCGGAAGCCCTGGGTTTTCCGGACGTGTTCCGTCTCTTGGACACCTCTCGGGCCTGTTGGGGCACTCGTGGGCTGCCCTGGGCGCTTCTTGGGCCAGCCTTGGGCTCTCCGGGACCGCCTCGGGGCGGCCTTGGGCGTTTCTGGAGCTGTCCGGGGGCGGTCTCGGAGGCCTCCTGGGCCGCCTAGGAGCGTCGGACAATCGCAAAGATCAGAAGGCCAACGCCTTTCCAAAACTATTGTAAAGCCATCAATGTTTGGCCTGCTGGGGCCTTCGTGGGAGTGCTCTTGGGAGCTTTTGGGGCCATGTTGGAGGACTCTTGGGGGCTGCCTGGGGCCTCCGGGGTCACTGTTGAGGCGGGGGCCCCGGGTGTTCGGTACGCGGTCCCTTTCTTGGGCCCTTCTTGGGCTTAGTTTGGAGCCTTCTTGGGTTGTCGTGGGCGCTTCTTGGGCAGCCTTGGGCTCTCCGGGGCCGCCTTGGACTTGTCTTGGGGGCCTTTGGGGCTGCTCGGGGGCGGACCTGGAGACCTCCTGGGCCGTCTTGGAGCGTCGTGCAAGCGAAAAACAACAACAATGTTGGCCTCCCGGGGCTCTCTTGGGAGTGCTCCTGGAAGCGTCAGGAGCCACGTTGGAGGCCTCGCGAAACCTTTACCACGTGCTTCGGCGACATGGGTCGAAGATGGGAACCATTCCTGATGCTGAAACATCACCAGGGTTCGTCCAGAGCTGCTCTGGAGACGTCCCAGAGCAGCTCTGGAGAGGCCCATGGGGGGTCCCCCCATGGCGAGCCGAGGCAGCTGGCCAGAGGCCCCCGGCCCCGTGCCTCGATATATATATATATATATATACATATATATATACATACATACATACATATATATATATATATATATATAATAATAGTAGTAGTAATAATAATAATGATAATAATAATAATAATGATGATGATAATAATAATACTAATCATAATAATAATAATAGTAATGATAATAATAATAACAACAGCAACAATAATAATATGTATATATGCATATGCGTATACATGTATACATAAATATACACATATACATACACATACACATACACATGCACACACATATACATATACACATACATGTACACATGCATATACGTATACATATACACCTACACATACGCATACATATACATATGCATATACATATACACCTATATATATGTATACATATGCATATATATATATATATATATATATAACGTAGGCCGAACATTTTCAAACATGCCCCCATGATTGTTCAAATCTACCCCCGGAGAATTGTCCATAATCGCGCTTGATTTGCCTTGCCAGGTCTTTGGACATCCGCCGAGGCGCGCAGCGCGTGGCGGCGGGCGACGGGGCGGCGCGCTACCGTCCCCCCCCCCGCGCTCGGCAACGAGACGGGGGGTCGGCAAGCACCACACAACCCCCTTACGAACGACTACTCGGTTGCGCATGGGTGACCGACCGGCGGCGCCAGGCAAAGTAGACAAGATTCGATGCAGAGTGCACCCCGCGCGAAAGGTCCTAGAAATCCCGGAATCCCCGAAACGCATCAATAGCAAGTTGCGTGAATAGATTCTCCTCGTCCTGAGGAGGAGGATGGGGGAAGGCGAAAAAGGACAGGAGAAGGATGGGGGGGACGAAAAGGAACGGGAGGAGGAGGAGGAAGAGGAGGAGGAGGAAGAGGAGGAGGAGGAGGAGGAGGAGGAGGGAGGAGGGACGAGGGAGGAGGATGACGAGGAGGAAGAGGGAGGAGACGAGACCAGAATCGATGCGAGGCCCCCTCCCTTCCCCACCCCCATATTTTCCGGGATTCCCAGTATACCGATGCCGCTTCCCTTTTTCTCGTCCCCGCGGCTGGATTCGCCTCGACACCTTGGGAAGGCACCCTCGGTGGGGCAGGTTTTGCCCCCCGACAGCTGTTGGGCGGATCTTGAGGACCAGGGGCTGGCGGTGGTTGGGTGGCGGCCATTCGCAGATTTGGTGCCAGCGGTGTCAATGCTCTGCTCTATTAGGGTTTTGCAGCGTCGTCCCACCTTGCTTCTGCGTGTCCGGGCTCCGTAGGTGCCTGCACGCCCTCCTGTGCTCAGCTGCGGTTTTGCTCTTACGGACACTGCGCAGGCCGGACGAAAGCTTAAGAGGTCCCGATCCAATGTGTGCCACCCGGTTTGGGCACGCATGTTGCGGCTGGAGTCGTGGCCCCTGCGACGCCTCGGAAGGGGTACGTCGCCCTGGGGACGCCTGGGCCCTCCCAGTCTCCTCACCCTACACACCTCAATCTGGTTTCACCTCCGCTGTAAGAAAAGCTCGCGCAAGTGTACGTGGCGGTCGTTGAAAGCAGGTATGCATGGATTCCCAGATCCCAATGTATTTCAGACGCCCTCCTACTTCAAGAACCGATGTGCTTTTGTTGTGTCTTGTTATTAGTTGGGAGGGCCTGGGCCCAATCCACTTTATCCGCCTTCCTACTTCGTGTGTTTACCTTCTTTTGCCGACCGACGTGCAGCGCCCGAATATTGTTTCACCTCCGCCGTAAGGACGTTTCGCGTGAGTGTACTTGGCACGGTAGTCGTCTCGAGGAGTCGCCTGTACAGCCTGCGCATTGGAGGCACACTTGCCAGCAGACTTGGAAAAGATCCAGACGGAAGTACGACGCTCCCCATCATCTTTCTACTCCTCCTTCGCCCTTTCGCTGCTCCTGCACATTCGGGACAACGCGCGATGCACACGTCGTTATCCGAGTCCTCCTCTCGTCGTCATCATTCTTTCCTCCCGTATCCTCATCGCCCACAGCCGAGTGCTTGGCAGTGGACCGAGACGTGTCTCGAGCTCACAGGCCGTTGCGCAGCGGTGGCCCGTTGGCCTGCGCCCGCTCCCATCATGGGTGACGCAGTCAGTCAGGGATCCCGCGCGGCGCGCGCACGCGCTCGGACGTGAGTGTGCGTATGTGTGTCGGCGAGCGGCGACCCCGCCGCTGGCTTTCAACATTGGACGCCGTCGGCGACCCCGAATCGGTCGATGCTGAAAGATCTGACGTTTCGGGAGGGGCCGATCGTTCAAGGTTGAACGATCCCCGCGGTGTCAGAAACCCACGCCGAAATCGGCACGACACGAGCCTGCCGTGTGTGCGCGGTTGCTCCTAAGCGGGCTCTTTGGGCGTTACATGTGCTTGTCTGTCGTGCACCTTTCTTTTTTTTGCACTCGCGACCGTTCTGTGGCTCCCTCCCAAGGCTCGGTGGTAATAGCCCTAGGCGCGGGCGTTACCCGCCTCTGAGTTGGACCAGCAGGCCTTAGAGCAACAATTGTGTATGTGTATGTCCGTTGCTTTGCGTTTAACTTCCAGCGGAGGCGCCAGCTTTGCAGCGGTGTTGGCGCGCCCGCACACGAGCTGGCACGTTCGGTCCGCTTTCATTTTACCATTGCACTTTCTGCCCACCGCTCTGGGTCAGGGTCGAAACATCCTTGCATGCCCGCATGCGCGGGTCTCCCCCGCCCACCCTTTCTCTATGTGTTTTTTTGTTTGCGCGCCTACTCGCCCAGTGCAGTCGCCCATTCTTGATGGCTTGTGGAGGTCGTGCTGGTCTGCATGCCGTTGTGGCTCTCGCTGTGGTGATGACACTCGGCCGGCGGTGGTAAGAGCGCGTGTGTGTGTTTATGTGTGTGTGTGTCTGTTGTTGTTGTTGTTGAACATTATTTATTCTAAAGAATAATTATTGTTGGGCCCCCTGGTGCGCGCCCCCCCTGCGCCGCCTAGGCCGCAGCTACATTTTCATCATTTTCGTGAGGAAGCCTCAGGTAAAACGATGTGATCCAGATCCGGTTGTTTTGTTGTAATCCGTTTTCCCTTGCAAAAAACACTATAAAATGACATTTCTTGTTCTAATATAATCAAATTTCAAGAATCCCTTGCAAAAAATAAGGTAAAGTGGACATTCGCGCGCGCAAGACGAAATCCTTCCAAAAGCTTAGTGTTCGGAGCGATTTTAACATAAAAACATCAAAAAACCAATGGTTTTTCAACAAAAAAATGTCAAAATCTCATCCCGCGCGCTCTTGCGGATTCGTAGGAAACCCAACACTTTTTAAACATTTCTGTCAAACGGGCTTTTGCGAGCAACTTTTTCGAACTTCTGCGACAACGGTTGCGCACCTGCCAGGGCCATCATCCCTGTCAAATAATACCATGCGGGACACATTCGTTTTTTCTTCGCGCGCGCACGCCGTCGTCGTCGGCCGCGGGGCCCTGAATAGTAGCCACGGTCGTCCGCATGCCACGAAGTGAAGTGTCCGAACGTCATAGGGCGGGAAGCTGGGTGTGGGTGGTGGCGAAGAGTCGTTTGGAAATTTGGTAGAGCTTGAACCGGCCCCCCCACAAAGTGGGGGTATTGCCCGCCTCCTATGAAAACCCTGGCACTGGTGAGAACGGAGTGTCCCCACGTGCTAGTAATTGTTGTTGTTGTTGTTGTTGAACACTATTACTTCTAAAGAATTATTATTGTTGGACCCCCTGGTGCACGCCCCCCGCCCAAAACCTAGGCCGCAGCTACATTTTCATCATTTTTCTGCGAAAGCTTCAGAAAAGTGGATTACCCCCGGATCCGGTTTTTTGTTGACGCTCGTTTTCCCTTGCAAAAAACAATAGAAAATGAAAATTCTTGTTCTTAGTTGATCAAATTTCAAGAATCCCTTGCAAAAAATAAGGTAAAGTGGACATTCGCGCTCGCAAGACGAAATCCTTCCAAAACCTTAGGTTTCGTAGCGATTTTAACATAAAAACATCAAAAACCCAATGGTTTTTTAAGAAAAAATTGTCAAAATGTCCTTCCGCGCGCTCTTGCGGATTCATAGGAAACACACCACTTTTTAAACATTTCTGTCAAAAGGGTCTTTGCGTGCTACTTCTTCAGGTGCTTTGAACTTCTCCAACAACGGTTGCGCGCCTGCGAGGGCCACCATCCCTTGCAAAAAATGAGACGAAGTGCACATGCGCGCGGCCGCCGCGCGCGCATGTCGAAATCCTGCCAAACACAATGGGTTTTCAATAATTTCAAGATGCGATGTTCAGAAAACATATGAAAACGCACTACTTTCTCATCCGAAAAATCTCGAAATCCATTCGCGGTCTCTTGATGAATCTTTAAAACCCAAGATGGCCCCAACAGGCGCGCAAGATGGCCCCAAGAGGCGTCCATGAGGCCCAAAGAGGCGCCCAAGATGGTCCCAAGAGGCTTCAAGAGGACTCCAAGAGGCCCCCAAGAGGTTCCAGAGAGGCTCCAAGGTGGCTTCAAGACGCGCGCGTTGGGCACTGAGAGTTAGGATCATAGCGCCATGAGTCTATGAGCAATGCATGCGTCATCCTTGGGACTGTATAACATCAGTGTAACACATGTACTTCTGTAATCGCATCCCCACGAATTTGCCCCAAAAATGTGACCAACTATCTTGGCACTGCGTACCATCTCACGTGTACCGTGTACCACATCATATGTAACAGATGTGATCAACCTCTGTGGGTGTGTACCCCACGCCAGTGTAGTAGCCAGGGTCGTCCGCACGCCACGAAGTGAAGTGTCCCAACGTCATAGGGCGGGAAGCTGGGTGTGGGTGGTCTCGAAGAGTCGTTTGGATATTTGGTAGAGCTTGAACGGCCCCCCCACGAAGTGGGGGTATTGGCTGGTGTCGCAAGAAAACCCTGGCACTGGGGAGAACACTGAGCGTTCGGGTAAAATGATTGTTGTTGTTGTTGTTGTTGTCGTCGTCGTCGTCGTCGTTGTTGTTGTTGGTGTTGTTGTTGTTGTTGTTGTTGTTGAAGTTGTTGTTGTTGTTGTTGCTGTTGCTGTTGCTGTTGTTGTTGTTGGTGTTGGTGTTGTTGTTGTTGTTGTTGTTGTTGTTGTTGTTGTTTGCTGTTCGTTGTTGTTTGTGTCGCCGTGACCCCCCCCCCGCGACCCGCCCCGCGACCCACCCGCGACCCGAGTTAATACGCTCATCTCCGCACCACCATCCCGTTGCCCTTGCCATCATTGTTGTTGTACTGACTGTCCGCCTGCAGCCATTCAGATTCGAGACGAATAGGATAAAAGGACCCAGCTGGCTTGCGCGCGCGAGGGGTCGTCCCCTCATCGTCGTCGTGTCGTCGGCCGACCGGTTTTCCCCCTACCCTACATATCTTTCAGATCCGCTTAACGGAACACGCCTTCGTTGCCATGGCCTCGGCGGACCCCCCTGAGCTTTCCTCGCGGAAGTTATTTCCAGGGGCGATTGAGACTACATCGGAACATATTGCAGGGATGGTCAATATCCCGACGACGGCTCAGCCGTTGGATTCGCTGGACATGGGGGCAACGGAAAGAACGCTCGGAGAAATAGAACGACAAAATCGTCCCGAGCACACCATTGAGGAAAGCGTTCCACGGGGGCGGCCTCTTTCTGTCAATCTTCCTGGAAGACACGCATCGGTATCTGCTTTTGATGTGACAGAAGGGCCCCCCTGCATATCATCAAATGAAGGAGAGAGTTCAAACGCCAGGCAGAGGGCATTGCTCAGCCAGTGCTACCGACGGAAGGCCATCAGAGATCGTATCAGCGCATTCACGCCTTAGGATATTAGTGCATACGAACTACGATAAGGAGAGCCCGCCGGAAAACGCTCCCACCAGCCCAGCGGGTGGAGATCGCTACTTCATCGAATGCATAACACAATGTGCGATGTTGGGCAGGGCGGAGAGGGAAGCGATGGGCAGTCGGAGGAAGAGAGCCTTCATTCAATGCATCAGAACGAAGATTATGCTCGTTCCCATGCGTTTCCTGGAGCATCGTATCGCCCGAATCCTTTTTTTTACAGAACTCTTTTGACGGGCTCGCCTCAGGCGCGGACCTGTCGGATACCGAAACAAGCGATTGCGAACCAGCCAAAACCCTTCAAAGGGTTGTCCTTTATTCGGATGGAGATCTCGAGGGCGAAAAGACCCCCAGAAACGGGAAACTAGGCCGTGGAAAGGGGGGGGGGCTGGGCTCAGCCGACGGGGCACTCGCCTGGCGCCACGCGCCCGGCTCGGCACGCAAGGGAGACGACTGGTGCGACTCCTTTGCCAAAGACGAAAGGACCCAAGAGCGAAACTGATGACCTCAACCCGTGCGTGCGTGCGTGCGTGCGTGCGTGCGTGCGTGCATGTATGTATGTATGTATGTATGTATGTATGTATGTATGTATGTGTGTTTGTATGTATGTATGTATGTATGTATGTATGTATGTATGTATGTATGTATGTATGTGTATGTATGTATGTATGTATGCATGTATGCATGTATGTATGTATGTATGTATGTTTGTATGTATGTATGTGCGTGTGTGTATGGTATGTGTGTATGTGTGAATGTGTGTATGTTTGTATGTGTGTTGGGTGGGTTGGGGGCGGGGAGGTGTGTGTGAGTGTGCGTGTGTGTTAGTGTTCATGGGTGTGTATCGGTCCTGCCCCGGGGTGGGCCCTGTCCCTGTAGGCTGGTCTTGCCGCCTACTCGTGGTTTCTGGGTCGCTCCCCACCTCCCCTCCTAAGGTGCCCTGCGCCGCCGCTTCTGGCCTGTGCTTCGGCCTGGGGATCGTCGGCCCTTCCGCAGGTTTTGTTCAGGCTCTGCCTGTGGCACCCCGCGGGCCCTTGCGGGGC